TCGGGATTGAAAAAAAAAACAAGAGACTGATTGACTGATTGATTGATTGATTTTTTCAATGGATAGAATTAAAAAACGCATGCAAATTGGTAGATTGATTGATGGCTGCAAGGGTGGGTGTCGCATACCGTAAAGGTGCAGACCAGAACAAGAACCGACCTCTCTCACATAGTACAAGATAGCCAACGGAAGGCTAAAATACCAATGATCAGACCAATCAATGTCGCAATGCAGACCAAACATACATCATCATCATTCCATGGTGTGAAGGGGCCTGGCGCTCACACAGGAAGAATGTGCCAGTCCCCAACCATACACAGACGAAGAACAGAGCGGTTAGACGAAGAGGAGGGGGAAGATGGGAATGTCGTCAACACCAAGTCTTCGGTACAGGTCCCAAATAATCCCTCGTCCAATGTCTCAATCCCAAAGTCGAGTCTGAATCCAAATGTCGTCAAGTCCCAAAGTCACCAATCTCTCTCTCTCTCTCTCTCTCTCTCTCTCCCTCTCTCTCCCTCCCTCTCTCTCGCTCGCTCGCTCGTAGTCTGCAGATACTGAGAACTCACGTAGCGAGAGGGTGAGGGAGAGATGGTGGACTTAGAAGAGGAAGAAGAAGAGCTCTCTCTCGGTCTCTCAGTCCGGTACTAACCTGTGTTGCAGGTACATCGAAGACGAAGCTGGAGCTGTGGCGCCACAGGTAAGTCTCCCTGGCCTCCGCCAAACCTCTCTCTCTCTCTCCAACGCTACTCTAGCTCCTAATAGCGCCCAGCGCTGAAGGCTACTCCTAACGCTACTACTGCAACTGCAGCGCTCCTCCAGAGTGCTGCTGCCGAATCCTGAAGACTGCCTCCTGCCTCCTGCACGTGAAGTGCCCGTGAACTGCCTGGGAAGTCCCTATGAGCTACCTCGTGACTACCTGTGAAGTGCCTGTCTGCTGGTCCGGCAGGGAGGCTGCTCTTGCCAATGCCGAAATGTGCCAGACCCTGGCCCTTAAGTTCAAACAAAGATTGTCTTGAAACAGGCTTTCAGGCTGAAACGACACAGGGCCAGCAGGGCCCTTATTTTCCGTCTGGTCCGGCCCTGCAGGCCCGTGTGGCTGCGCAGTATGCCACAGTGGGTGACCCTCCCCCAACCAATCAATCAATCAATCAATCAATCAATACATAAAAAAAAACAAAAAAAAAACGCTATAATTGATTGCAGGACAGCTCCCCGAAAAGGAAGGCGGCATGCTCTCTGCTTATGCACTATGACAATCTGGCGGGTGTTGGGAGTAAGGTACATCAAATTGGCTCCCCAATAAGGAAGGTGGCATGCTCTCTACTTATGCACTATGACAATTTGGCGTGTGTGCATTGGGCAACCGAAGAGGCAGATGTAAGGAAGATGAGCGATAGCGAACTTCAGAAATCAAACAGCATCATACACATGAGACCAGATAGTCATGACCTCGAACCAATAGCAGAATTGCATCACGAGTTTCACCAAATAAGAGTACAGCAAAAGCTCATAATTGACAATGCTGGAATAGTCTCATCATCAATACCCTATCTAGCGCTCAGCGCCCAGACTACGAATGGCAGATCCTATCTAGCCTAGACTACAATGCCGCCGATGACGTCAACAGCTCCCCGAAGTACGAGCAGATCTCGGCCAATGCCGCACCCTTCAAGCACCAGGTATGTCTCTCGTATCACCACCATCCGCCCCATCCAACATACAGCAGCGCAGCTTGGCTATGGCAGCCTGCTCCTTCCAGCGGCGCGTGAGCCGGGCCAGCGTTAGCGCAGCATGCAGCCAGTGCCCCAATATCCAAGGCGTGGGCTGGCCCTTTCCTAAATGGAAGTGGCCAGCCTGCTTGTGTGCAGCCTGACTGCACTGGGCCCCTGCCCAGAAGCTTAGGGTAGGCCCAGGGAGGATGAGACTCAGACCAAACGAATCAGGCCCAGGGCCACCGACAGTTACCCGTGCCCAACTGCCCGCTGTCTGAGATGAGTCTATGCTGCGTATCTCGCCCAGGGCCTGGGCGCCTTCAACCAACTGGCGCTGCGCAACTGCCTGAATTTTCCCCAGTTGCGAAGTAGTCCAAAATAGGCCTCTTGTTGCAAATAGGGGTCCAGTAGGGCTTATCGAGGCCTCATGCCTCGCACAGACAGCACGGTTGCCAAAAACATCTCTTTTGATTCTCATGTGGTTCGGACAGATGAGATGCTGTTTTCGTTCTCGTGTTATTCAGGCAGCAGATGTTGGACCCGGTTTCCAGCAGCTCCCCACCAGTAGATTGGAGCAGCCAGCAGGGGGCTACTAGGCGGGAATGCTCTTATCACCCTGTCCATTACCCTGAGCCTGGGTTCTTCCAACTTCCAAGGAAAAAAAAAAAAGTAAAGAAAAACGAATCTGGTATTCCTCAGTTCCCACGACCTGGAATGTAATTGAATTGTCTCCTCAAGGTTTAGGTCCTTGCCTGAGGATCTTCTCAGGCAATCTGGTGCCGAGTGGATTCCTAACTCCTCAAGTCACCCCACTTGCTGGCCACGGCCAACCTTCAACATGAAATCCTGAGCGAGCTGACTGGACTGGACTGATTGAGATGACTGACCTGACTGATTAAGGTGACCGACTGGACTGCTGAACGAACTGGCCTAGATGTAGTTGTTGTAACTACCGGATTGAACTGTGGTACATGGGATGTCGGAACTTCAGGCATGAACTTCGGACAGGACGTTGTTACGAGTGAAATCCTTTCAGTACAATCATTCCGCGTACTGACTGCTGTTGGAACACTATCTCAGAGAGGCTGCCTTTCCTTCTTCTTTCT